GTCATTGGCTTCATAGTTAGCAGCTGAGCATCTACTTTGGTTTTCAGATTCTTCACCTTAGATTCCCTGGTGGAAAACTGAAGGGAAGCAGAGGAGGACGCTACTCCCTGGTCCTGCCTAAGAGGATGGTAATGGCGATAATCACTATAGGGCTATTTTTGATAAGCAAGAGCTGATGTATATATAAATTCCATAATACACAAATTATAGTTATTATTTCATCCTGCTTTTACACTGATACCAATCATAGTTATTAAAATCTCCCACTTAAGATAGGTTTACTAGCACATACCCATAGTCTCCATGGTGGGAAAACGTGGAAGGAAGATCTAGAATAGCCAGCCTGGGCTACATACTGAGACCTTGTCTCAAAGACAAAACCCAAATAAAACCAAACAAACTAAAATCTCTAAATCAACACTTCATTCTTTATAAGGATTTACTTCCCTCTGCCAATAGTCTTTAGTCTGCTTAACCTGTTTTACACTGTCTAGGAATTCCTGAAGATGCTTTTATGTGTTCATAGATCAAGGGATCTTTCTTGAGAGTTTTTCCTTCAGCAGGAGAAAAATTGTGTCTATGTATCCATTGGGAATAATCCCTAAGCATAAAACCATGTAAACAAAGAAAAATTCTAGAATGGTGTCAATGTTTTGATGCTTGATATCCAGACAAATATATTTTTATGTGAAGAAAAATACATCTAAATTACTAAATTTCCTTGATCATCACCTGAGAAATTAAAAGTAAAAGCAATGTTACCATGAGGCTGAAAGGATTGCCTAGTGGTTAAGAGCACATACTGCTCTTACATAGGACCTAGGTGCTATTCCCAATACCCATATGGTATCTCACAATGACCTTTAACTCCAGGTCCAGGGGAATCTGACACCCTCTTCTGGCCTCCTCAGGCATCAGGAATGCACGTGGTACACATACACATGTACAAGAAAACATACATACACATAAAATAAAAACAAGTAATTTTTTAAAAAAAGTAATGCTGCCACAAAGGAAAATGATACTTGTTTTAACTCCCCTAGAACTCAAGCCTGGGTCTTGTGCCTTACCTGACTTCTTACACTGATCTTAGAAAATATGTTTTTATTAGTGCTTTGAAAACTAATGTATACATTACATTTTGATCATGTTCGCCTCCCCATTCCTCTCCATCACTCCTCCTACATACACCCAACTTCATGCCTTCTTTCTTATTAATAAACCCTACACTTGATGTTCTTTCTTATGGGGGATGGAGGTACCAATTTAGTACAGTGGTTCTCAATCTTCCTAATGCTGGACCCTTTAATATAGCTCCTCATGTTGTGGTGACCTCCAGCCATAAACTTGTTTTCATTGCTACTTCATAACTATCATTTTGCTACTGCTATGAATTGTAATATAAATATCTGATATGTAACCTCCCCAAAGAGGTTGAGACCCACAGGTTGAGGACTTCTGGTTTATTTGGTTCCATTAGGGGAGAGTGATGATATAACCTTCATTTGTAAATGAAGGCACTTGTATTTGTATCCAAAGTATACAAACATTTCCAACAAACATAAATCATTTCTTGTGTCTCATCAGATCATAATTGACTAAAACTTGAAGTAGATAGCAAGAGCAACTACAGAATCTATATTATATTATATTATATTATATATATATGCATACATAGTAATATATTTGTATATATATGTATATATATGTACTTCTGAATGATCAGTGAGTAATTGAGTGAGTCTGGGAGTAAATTTTAAAAATTATAGAAACCAGTGGGAAAAAAAAAACAAAACTACAAATTACTGAACTCCTTTGGAGAGAACAAAGGCAGTTCTAAGAGATAAGTTTAGAGATATGAATACCCATATTAAAATAAAAAAGATTTCAAATAATGCAATAATGTATTTAAATTGGTTGAAAACAAGTTAAACTTCAAATAGGAAACAATAATTATAATCAGGATGTAAATCAATGAAATGAGAATTAAAAGAATAATACAAAAATGAAGGAAAGAAACAATTCTTTGAAAAGATAAGATAGACAAATGCTTAGCCAAACTAAAAAAAATAATGAAAATCAAAATGAATGAAATTAGAGATTGTAGAACTATTAGAACAGATGCTGATGAAATCTAGAGGGCCAGTAAGGAATATTTTTTATAAATGTTATTTAAATTAGAAACAATCTTATTTTACATATCAATCCCAGTTCCCTCTCCCTCCCATTCTCCCATGCCCCCTACCGATCCCCCATCCACTCCCCAGGGAGGGTAAGGCCTTCCTTGAGGATCAAAATCTGTCAAGTCATTTGGGGCAGGGCCTAGGCCCTCCCCAGTGTATCTTGGCTGAGAGAGTATCCTTCTATGGGGGATACATCCTGGTTCCACTGCCAGAGGCCCCATAGACTTCCCAGTCCTCCTAGCTGACAACCACATTCAGGGGGCCTGGTTTGGACCTATGTTGGGTCCCCAGCCGTCAGACTGGGGTCCATGAGTTCCCACTTGGCTCAGATCAGCTGTTTCTGTGGGTTTTCCCAGCATGGTCTTAACCCCTCTGCTCATCACTTCTCCCTCTCTACAACTGGATTCCAGGAGTTTGGCTCAGTACTTAGCTGTGGATCGCTGCTTCTGCTTCCATCAGCTACTGGATGAAGGCTCTAGGATAGCATTTAAGGTAGTCATCATTCTCATTGTAGGGAAAGGGCATTTAAGTTACCCTCTCCACTATTGCTTAGGTTCCTAGTTGGGGTCATCCTTGTGGATCTCTGTACAATTCCCTAGTGCCAGATTTCTCTCTAAACCTATAGTGGCTCCCTCTATTGATGTGTCTCTTTTCTTGCTCTCCTCTATTCATCTCCCCACTCAATCTTCCTGTCCCTCATGTTCTCCTCTCCTCTCTTCTTCTCCCCTCCTCTTTCTCCTGCCTCCCTCCACTCTCCCCATGCTCCCAATTTGTTCAGGAGTTCTTGTCCCTTCCCCCTTCACCATGGGACCATGTATGTCTCTCTCTTATAGTCCTCCTTGTTGCCTAGCTTTCTGGAGGTGTGGAGTTTAATCTGGTAATCCTTTGCTCGATGTCTAATATCTGTATATGAATGAGTACATACCATGTTTGTCTTTCTGTGACTGGGTTACCTCACTTAGGATGATTTCTTCTAGTTCCATCCATTTGCCTATGAATTTCAAGATTTCAAGATTGTTTTTTCCGCTGAGTAGTACTCCATTGTGTAAATGTATCACATTTTTCTTTATCCATTCTTCGGTTGAGGGGCATCTAGGTGGCTTCCAGGTTCTGATTAATACTAATAATGCTGCTATGAACATACAGATGTCCTTGTTGTATGAATGTGCATCTTTCATACAATTCCACAGAGTGGAATTGCTGGATCTTAAGGTAGACTGATTCCCATTATCCAGAGAAACCTCCATACTGATTTCCAAAGTGGCTGTACAAATTTGCACTCCCACCAGCAATGGAGGAGCATTCCCCCTTTTTTACATCCTCTCCAGCATAAACTGTCATTGGGGTTTTTGATTTTAGCCATTCTGACAGGAGTAAGATGGTATCTCTGAGTTATTTTGATTTGCATTTCCCTGATGGCTAAGGATTTTGAGCACTTTCTTGAGTGTCTTTCAGCCATTTTGTATTCCTCTATTGAGAATTCTCTGTTTAATTCTGTACCCCACTTTTTAATTGAATTATTTGGTGTATTGGTGACTAGCTTCTTGAGTTCTTTGTATATTTTGAAAATCATCCCTCTGTCAGTTGTGGGGTTAGTAAATATCTTTTCCCATTCTGTGGGCTTCCATTTTGTCTTGTTGACTGTGTCTTTTGCCTTACAGAAGCTTCTCTTGTTACAGGAGGTCCCATTTATTATTGTCGATCTCAGTGTCTGTGCTACTGGTGTTATGTTCAGTAAGTGGTCTCTTGTGCCAATTCATTCAAGGACACCTCCCACTTTTTCTTCTGCAAGATTCAGTGTGGCTAGATTTATGTTGAGGTCTTGGGATTCAATGCAATCCCCATCAAAATTCCAGGACAATTCTTTACAGATCTTGAAAGGACAATACTCAACTTTATATGGAAAAACAAAAAACCCAGGATAGCCAAAATAACCCTTCACAATAAAGGAACTTCTGGAGGCATCACCATCCCTGACTTCAAGCTCTATTATAGAGCTATAGTCCTGAAAACAGCTTTGTATTCACATGAAAAATAGACAGGTAGGCCAATGGAATTGAATTGAAAACCCTAATATTAACCCATACACACATACAAATACTTGATTTTTTGACAAAGAAGCTAAAACTATACAATGGAAAAAAGAAAGCATCTTCAACAAATGGTGTTGGCATAACTGGATGCTTACATGTAGAAGATTGCAGATAGATCCATATCTATTGCTATGCACAAAACGTTAAGTCCAAGTGGATCAGAGACCTTAACATAAATCCAATAAAGGAATATTTTAAAACCTTACATTACAATGCATTAGAAAAATGTGAGTTGAAGACTAAGCACATCCATGACCTTGACTTGATGCTTCCAGATTGGCTTTAGTCATGAGGAGCCAAGAGAGTGACCAGGACTGCCAAGGCGGGCAGAAAATGACATGCCACAGATCAGTAGCTTAGCCATCAACATGAGATGGTAGGGAGATACCTATTTTTTAAAATTATTCAAATTCTAGAAAGTATCATTTCAAAATAAAAGTGTCTTAAGGCACAGTAGAAGCAAAACTACTCAGGTGGAACTATTTCAAGACTCTGCCCTCCATCCACCCTTCCTCACTTGTGTTAGGGTCGCCTTTCTCCACAGGAGGCTACAGGGAAATGACGTTTTTAAACAGCTGTCCCCCCCATTCGTCAACCTGGCAGAGCTGGCTACACGAGTGGGATCTGTCTTGTACTTCAGAGAAATTTAATCTGTTAGACCACTTAGCGTCTAAATGTCTCCCTTGAGGATGTCAGAGGGAACAGGTGGTGTGACTTTTCCTACCAGTAACTGCTGCAGCCTGGCGCCAATCACATCTTCCAGGTTTGTTTTGTCCTCTGGGCTCACGGCTTGTTTGTACTGCCACTTTTCAGGCACGAAGGGCCACTTCATTTCCTTTGCCTCCTGGATCAGGGTCCTTAACTCTCTGGGGAGCGAGGCTGAAAAGGTCAGAGTTCAGTTAAGGAAATTGCACTCAAAGAAAGGACTGTTGAGCTCCCCGTGTTATGATGAAGCACCTCAGGGGCTAAAACACTTTTCCTATTTGTGACTGGCTGGTCCAAGCTGTTGGGGCTACCTTGAAGAATAATAGCAAGGAGCTATCTGTCATGGGTGGCCTGAGTCTACTGTGCCCTACAGGTAAATTGGGGTAGTCAGGCATTGAGAAAGGTTTTTAACAGGAAGTAAAGCACTTGAGTGACTGTCTCTGCATGAAGAATCAGAGAAAGACACGAAGGAAATATTCTGTTCCCTGTAAAGTGAGAACAGGGCTAGAGTGGAATGGCATTTGGAGCTTGTGGTACCTGAGAAGGGAATCAATTTGTTCAGTCTCTTTTTGCTTCTCTAAGACCTTGGCCCGTCTTACCCTTTAACCACTGACTATGCTTAAACCCAGACAAAAAGTACAAACCCACAGATGGGATTCCTGGTGATCAGTTAATTGTGAAGTGGCCCGTTTCACATTAGTAACTGTGGTTAAATCTCTCAGTAGGTACAAATCCTAATGATTCTGGTTGACAGTCTCTTGTCTAAACTTCAGAAACACAAAAAGGCTTTGAAAACTGTTAGTGTTTCGCTAGTTTTGACATCCAGACCACACCAGAGTTGAGTAGGGCTGATTGTCCTACTTGACACTCAAAATTCCATAGCAAGAAGTTCTACACTGATGAGGCCCATGGTCTGCTTTACTCTGAATGTACTGGATGGTACACACTCCACAGGACTGTCCTCATAATAGAAACAGTCTGCTTTGAAGTATGTGTGATGCCAGGGTTCTGAACAAGGTTGTCTATAGTTCTCTCTGTCTTGTGTCTCATATTGAACACAACTAATACGTAGTTCTTCAGCTGGTTTCTTATTCCCTTTCTCCATATATTTTCTTTTGATGAATGGAACCACCACACCCAAATCTGAAGCCCAGTCATTCTAGATACTTGCTTTCTTTCCCTCCCTTGAGTCAATTATCAAGTTCCATAGATCCTAAGAACTCATCTCTTTCTTTTCTGTTTCAGGCCATCCTCACATTTTTTTATAAGGTTGAGCCCCTCCCCACTTTTCTAATAAGGTAGACTAGGACAACACTTTTCACAACATTTTTTAGTTCTTTAGTTTTACACATTCTCGTCTGTTTCGTAACTGCCCTACTCCCAAAGCCTGATGATCAAACTCAGGCCTACTGCCTTTGGTATTCAAAACAAACATCGGCACTTCCCGTGAGTCTGTCATGACCTCTCAGTGGAACTGAAGTGCCTCTGCCATGTCCTTCCAAACCCACAGGTGCATGTTCCTGTCCACCTGCATCCCAGGAGCCTGCTCTGTGATCACAGCGCCCTGTCCGCCTGGGCTGAAAGCATCCTCAGCACAGCTATCATGTTTCATATCTCATCCCTTTGGTAATCGCATCGCTATGGTAGCATACCGCCATGGTTAAAACACAAGATAGCATTGTATCTACCCGAGACATACCAAATGAGAAAATAGAATGTGACAGACGAGCAGAATAAGCAGGAAGAAAACTTGACTTGGTCCTGGACAACTTTATGTGAAATTGTCACCAGCCGAGCAAAGGTAAGGATGTTTCTGGGTGGGGAAAGACTGCTTGGCATTGAGGAGCCCACACCAATGAGTGACAAGTGTTGACAACCAGAGATGACTGCCATATCCCATTGAAATTGTGGCTTCCAGTTAAGCACCTCCTGGATCCTTATTCTGCATTAGCATTCCTAGGGGAGCATGATCACATTTGGCTGCAAAATATGTCTGTGTGACTGCTAGTCAGAGAATTTCAGTTTTTACAAGTGCAATGTGTGTGCAGAGCACATTTCTTCAAGGGTGTTTCTAAATCCAATGAGTAAGATGTCTGCTGGAGGTGGGTGGTCCAGTGAACTTACAGATAATGTCCCTTTCCATCCTCAGTGTCACAATTTGACTGTAAATAATCAAAAAGGGAAGAATAGTCACTTGATAATGAAAATCCCATTCCTGGCTTCATAGACTTCCATTGTGCTGTGAGTTGAATAATTTCTTCACAATATTGGGGGATGTTTCTTCTTCTGCCTTCTTCTATTACTATTATTAAAAGAGGATATGAATGTTTATCCTAGGCTGGTCTCATACTCTTGACCCTCCCATGCCAGGATGACAGGCATGAACCGCCATGCCCAGACAAAGAAAGCTTATTCTTTACCAATAGTTTATGTGTCCTCCACGACCCTTCTCCAAACCAAACTGTAAGTAGGCCAGTGGAACACACTGCAATATAAGATATCCCTGAAAGACAGGTCCAAAAGCTGTATTACATCTCAGTTTGCATTTCAGTTCTTGTTCCATCTCCCAGGTTGTCAGGAGCAGGGAGGAGAGAGATGGGGTTGATGGTAAAGACAGGAGAATATGCTGTGTCTACGTTCCCAAGTTTGCCAGCTGCTGTGCCCATAAGTGACCCTGTGCTAATATTTTTCTCTATGATTCTAGGCAGTAACAACATCCATAATGTCACAACCGGTGGACCAAAGCTGCTCACAGCCACCTGCCCACTGGAATAGGAGGGGTTCTGCACAGATGCAGACCACAGGAACCGTGGGGACCGTGCAAGTACACCACTCTGCATGTGAGCACTTACTGGTCATCTGGAATGATTTTTCAGTCTTGATTTGCCTTAGCTGAAACTAAACTCATTACTTCTCCTGTTCTGTGTCACTTGGGAAGAAAGTGTCCTCTGACTGAGGCCTTGGACTTCAACAGGGAGGGTATGAAGCCTAAGTGAGGACACACACTAAATACAGAAAGAGGACACTGGAAAAACTCTAGGAAAAAAACAAGAAAAACAACCCAACCCACACACAGACACAGGGCGACAGAGAACTGGCTGTCGCCTATTGGCCAGATGCCTAGACCCTGTGGCTGAGGACCAAGAACTGACATGAGGAGCCTGCGACCCCAGATTGACAAGCACAGGCAGCCAGCAGAAGATGGAAGCGCACACCGGGGTTTGCTTTGGGAACTGACCGCATGTACGGGACTTCATTCAGAAGGGAGCAGAATGACGGGATACATAGCTGAGACCCCCATAGGTACCTAACACGTCCTGTTAGACATCCATGTGCCCATATACCACAACTGGGAGAAAGCCCATCCCAGGACTTTCCCATTACATTTTATATCTTATTCAGGCATCTTACTTTTAAGTGAAACACTAAAAATACACAGGAAAAATACTAAAAGCACATACAAAGAAAATACTAAGCAGATGGAATGAAAATTATTAGAACAATTAAAAAAAACCTAAATAAAGAAGTTGCCTCTCCGAAGTTGGAGGAAGAAAGAAAGCTTTCGTAGTTTTCTAGATTGTGTGATTGGGATTCCCAAACACTGTCTGTAACTATAAATAGCATAAACCAAGAAGCAAGAAAACATCCAGGCCCTGACTGCGATGTAAACAGTCTTTCTTGAGATCATTGAATGCATTTTAAAAATGGCACGATGAGTTTGTTGGTGACAAAAAAAAAAAAAACAGAGACTGTCCATACTGGTGAGATGACCTATTTATGGAAGCCATGGAAGTCTATGGAAACTGGTGAAGCACAAACTCCTTGTTTGAGAAAAAAAAATATGTGCCACCATTCAGAAGTTGCTTCAATTTTTTAATAATTGAAATTTGTGTGCACTGGCCAACTTGGACCCTTTGTTCTTCCTGAACTAAACTGTTTCTTGTAGCCCCATGTTTACTGAAGCCTAAAATTAGAACTGACAGCAATTCTATGCAACAAAGTGGGCTTCTTCCCTGCCTGCCAGCCTGCAGCCCGTCCCATTCATATCCGGGAAATCCACTCATCTCTCGGTGGTCATCTGCCAGGAGAAGAAAACTAGGGCAGAGAGGAGAATGTGTCATCCAGGCAAGGATGCAAGCACTGAAGCTGCTGCCTCAACCCCTGGTGTCTCCCATCAGCACCTCACCTCTGCACCGCTGGTCCTCACTCTTGTCCTCTGCAGACACATCTGGCGTTTCCAGCAAGAGACGATCCAGTACTCGCTTACATTCACGCAACATCGAAACCACAGCATCTTGATTATTCATGATGATCGCCCACCCTCCAGGATGAATTGAGTGTCCCTGGGTCTACGGTGATCAATTACCTAGGAGAGGCATTGATTCTCAATAAAGAGGCCCCTTGAAGGCTGAGGTACCTGGCGAACAAAAGAGGGAGAAGGATGATTAACTAAAGCGTCATCAATTATCTGTGAGTCTCAAGCCGGGAGGGATAATAGAGCAAACACATGAAAATACATGACAGGCCCTGAGGATGCTGTTAGGGGAGTGTGTGAAATGATTGCAGGGTCTGATCTAGATGGGCGGTACCTCGAAGGCATGGAGTGCAGAAGGGAGAGAGTCTGGGTATAGGGCTTGGTCACCTACGGTGAGGTTGGTGAACTCACACGGGCCAAATAAAATGAATGTGCCCCATGATTTATGTACTCTCTGCATACTTCACTCAGTGCCTCTGGGTCCCAGTAGCACTGAGCTTTTTTCCTCTCTGGAAGTCTACAGGAAGCATCTGGCTGACAGTTCTAATAGCCATGCTCAAGCACATGGTAATATGAAGTTCACCACTTTCACAGCCCACTACTGATTTCCCCTGTGCAGTATTCTTCATGGTATTTAGCACTATGTAATTTGGATCAAGATAGGCAATGACAGATGCCAAATTTAAAGCTCTCCATTGCCAGGCATATTGCCAAGTAAAAGAGAGAAATGGTACTCCCGAAAACCCAATTTCCTGGAGCTTTGACGCGGATGGATCCATCATGTAGATAGATGGATCGACCGATGTTGGCAGATAACACATAAGTTAGTAGATTCCTTATGCAAATGTGAAAAAGCCCAAAGGAGTTTTTGCAGCCAAGGTATGTTTGAGAACAAAATAATTTGCTAGCACGGTGAAAATGCCTAGCCAATAAACAAAAAGCAATTCCTGGTTAACAAATATTTCGGTCTGTCTTCCTTTTGTTGAAGCAGTACCCTGTAAACAAAAGGCATTATTCTCTTTGCTTTCAACAGACCAAGGAGTGGCATTTCTCTAGTTTAGACATGCGTGTGTGTGGGGGGGTGTAGAAGTGCATTGTCAGTGCATGAGTCTCAAGGAAAAGATGGTAACAGTTACAGGGATGCCACCAGGGCCTCTGCCTCAGAGCTCATCCACACAATGACGGAGTGACCGGGAATGGTAATGCAGAGAGTTGCTGACTTGGTGTTAAATATGTCCTTCAATCTGTCCTATGGCCTTGCTTTTCAAGCATGCCAAACTAAGCCTTCAGGGTATCACAGGCTTATTTCAATCAAAAGAATCATGTATTTACCAGTGAACACGAACAGAGTGCTCAAGCTAAAATTTCATCATATTCGAAGAGCTTTCACATAAATGAGGTGTGAGAAATTAGTCACGAAATTATCTAAGGCTGAGAATAAATTTACTCTGTCTTTCAGTGTGCTTCAGAAAGGATTCCTGTACAAACTGGGTTGTTGCACTAAACTGTATCCAAAGCCCCTTTAACTCAGGTGTCTATAAGTCACAATGTTTTGTGCAATAAGCTGGCCCTTAGTGTGTCTAGCTATGAAGAGAACAGGCCTCAAGGGCTAGTCAGAATTTTATCCTCAGACAGCTGTTACAAACAAGTAAGGACTTGCTCATCCCTGTGAGCAACAAGCAAACAAGACATAATTAGTGGACTAGAGTGGGCCAGAGACCTTGTAACAGTAACATCACATTCCCACTACTCCAGATACTAAGACAGGCACTGGCAGGTCAGAAAGGGAAGAACAAACTACTGATCATGACCTGCATGTGAGTCAGATAATCTTTTGTTTAAGTCTCATATGAAAGCAAGATGCAGGCTGTCTTTCCTAGAATCCTTTTTTGAGGGAAAAGGCTGCATAACAATGGAGTAAGAAGACTAGTTAGTGCTCAAAAAAAGAAAAGTGTATTGCAGTATGGTCTTAGTAGCTTAGCATCCTTTCTTATAAAGGGAAGGCCATCATCTTGTAGAGCTCATAGAAGAAAGAATAGAAAGGAAATTCTCAAGGCCCTAAAGGGTACATGGTGTTACTATGAGGAAATGTGTTTTGATCGTTAACATAAAACATTAAGAACAAAATCCCTATCGGCAGTCACACTACCACAAAAGTAGAAGATAAGCAGGGTCAGACCTGGTTAGACGTTGGATGGGAGACTGAGGGAAAATTAGATCTTATAGGCACTGACAGCGACAATCTAGCTTCCAACCATTTCACATTCCCTGAGCAACCAATGAACACATACTCGCCACCAAAAAGCTTCTTGGACTGATAGGAGGTAGAACGGGATGGGACAGGAAGAAGATTAAATCTAATTGGAGAGCAAAGCATGGGGGGCTTGGTTGTTCTTGAGTTGCAGCCACTTGTTAGCACTTTCAAGCTACATAAAAGGAGGGAAGGAAGGGGAAACTAGAGAGCTGATGACACCCAAAGGCTGGACAAACTAAGAGGACACTGCCACCCACACTCCAGGGCCCAACAATTTGCACCCTCAGTGTAAGGAGCATCACAACAAACCCTCACCTTCCCCCCTCATCTTCCAGGAGAACTGCCTTTGCCAAAACACTCCGTTGTGAAGGGGATCAAAAATCTTCCCTTGAAAATTTGGGGCCACAAAGTCTATAAAACCTCTTCACAGTCATATAAAATAAAATGTAAAAATAGCATTAGGTTAATTCTTAGGCACCTCTCTAAGGAAATCTGACTTCAGTCTAAGCTTCAAGGGATTCCAGTCAGTGCTAAGAAATGTGATCTTGTGGACACATCTCACAAAATACCTATGGCATAAAGAGACAAAGGATGGAAGCAGAGATGACACAGTAAATCTGACCTACAGACTTCAGGTAGTGGACCCAGCAGGTATAGGCTACAAAAATGAATCTTTATCAAACTAAACAGTCAGATTGAAAGTATGAGTAAATACACAGGCTGCCTCCATGTGACCACCTGAAGAAGAATCAGAATGAGGAAAAACAGACTCTGTGAAAGAAATGGGAGGGAACTCCCACATGGCAGCACATGACCATCTGTAACTTCCGTTCCAGGGCATCCAGTACCTTCTTCTGGCCTCCACAGGTACTGACATATGTGGTGCACATGCATACATGTAGCAAAAACACCCATGCACATGAAATAAAAATAAATAAATCTGGGGGTGGGTGGAATGTATGAAGTCCTAAATTCAGGACTTAAAAATACTCCCAAGCTGCCAGCTGTGGGTTTTAGACAGTGATTCCTCCAGTAGTGCACAGGAATCCCTGTCACTGCCTGTGACTTAGGGATGGGTCACAGGAATCTCTGTCACTGCCTATGACCCAGGGCTGGGTCACAGGTAACCCTTGTCATTGCCTATGACCCAATCTTGAATGAGAATCACTTGCTTGAAACTGTGCTCTCCTAGAGGCCTGAGAACAGTGAACAAGCTCTAGACAGAGAGCCTGAATTTAAATCTCCTACAGGGAGAAAGACAGCTCTAGAAGGTAGCTGTGGAGAGTGAGGGGGCAGCTGCTCAGGAGCTAATAAGAGTAGAGGGTAGGAAACTTGGTGGAGGTTAGGAAAGTGCATATGGAACAGTAACACACACACACACACACACACACATACATGCACACATGCACGCACACATGGGTACAACCTCATTGGCCAGAAGCAGACCTCAACAACTGATAATAACTTGGGAGTTGGACTGGCTGACATCAGTGAATGGATCAATCTCTGAAGTCATCCACCTGCTGTTTCCCGCGAGAGCCCAAGACTCTGCAGCCCCAGACGACTACCAGATACACACAGCTGCAACCCTCCAGCCACATGAGTCTTGAAAATACAAAGATCCCGAGATGGGTCCTCTGCGTGTGCAAACCTCAGCTCTCTTGTTGCTTTCCATGTTCCCAGCACTCTTGGAAGGCACTCCTAGTGAGAAAACTAGTTATCTTAGGAGGGTAAAAGAGCCTGTCGAAACCACAGACTGCAAGGCTAAGTGTGCTCTGTAGAGGTTCCAGGGTTGAAAAATGAAACTCTACTAAAAGAGAAACGCTCCAGGACACATCACATACTCACCCAATGCAAGCTTAACACCAGCATAGGCCTCAACATCCACAGTCCAATTCACATATAGAAAAATGAAGATAGATTCTTACCTTTCACCTGTCACAAAAATCAATCCAAGTGGACCAAAATCTTTATGTCAGGCCTGAAAATCTGAAACTACTAGAGAACAGCCCAAGCAAAACATTCAGGATAAAGACATAGACAAAGACTTCCTGAAAAAGACTCCGATGGCACAAGAGATAATTTCAATAACTGACAAATCAGATTGTGTGGAATTAAAGAGATCCTGCACAACCCAGGAAACAATTGCTGGAGTGAAATGACAGCCTGCACACTGGGGAAAAGCTTAGCCAAAATATTCTTGGACAGAAGGTTTTCATCTAGAATACATAATTCAAAATCTAAACACCAACAAACCAATCATCCAACCAGTAAATAGGCTAGTGAACTAAATAGGTAGTTTTCAAATGAAGGAATGCAAATGGCCAATAAATATTTTAAAACTGTTCAACATCTTAGCCACTGGGGAAATGCAAATTAAAACAGTTCAATATTCCATAATAATAGCCAAGTAGAATGGCTGTTATTAAGACAGTAAATGAAAATAAACTCTGGTAATGACGTGGGAGTGGAACCTTTATATGCCATTGCTGGGTATAAACTCGTTCAGTCACTATGGAAATAACTATGGTGGCTCCTGAAAGAAGTGATGATAACACAGGTAGCATATGATCCAGCGATACAATTCCTTAGTATATTTCTGAAAGGACTCTAAGTCAGTAGCCCAGCCCATATAGACACTTTTACATCCTGTGTGTTGTTGCAGTATTCATAATAGCTAAGAAATTGAATCAACCTGGACGTCCATAATCAGAAAAGATAAAATATGGTGCATATATATACACAATGGGATTTCATTCAACTGTAACGAAAAATGAAATCATAACGTTCACAAGAGAATGGATATGACTCAAGATCATTATGTTAAGTAAAGTAATCCAGATTCAGGAAGACAAACACCACCTGCTTTCTGTCCCATTTGAACACAGGGATATGAGAACTATTAAAG